TGATGATATGGTTCTATACGGGAAGGGGAGATATATTGTAAAGCATTGGCCCATGGGATTAATGGAGGCTGAGAAATCCCAAAACCTGGGGGCCTGGGCGGTTCAGGTTATAATCTCACAGTTCGTGAGTTCGAACCCCACATCTTTCTCGTTGCTGTCAGCGCAGAGCTGGCTTCAGATCCTCTGTCCCTCTCTCTCTGCACCTCCCCCACTTGTGCAGTCTCTCAAAAGTAAAAACAGTTAAAAAAACTAAAAAATTTTATTTTTGAGACAGAGAGAGACAGAGCATGAACGGGGGAAGGGCAGAGAGAGAGGGAGACACAGAATCTGAAACAGGCTCCAGGCTCTGAGCTGTCGGCACAGAGCCCGACACGGGGCTCGAACCCACGAACCGTGAGACCATGACCTGAGCTGAAGTCGGACACTTAACCGACTGAGCCACCCAGGTGCCCCAACATTAAAAGAATTTTTAATAAATATCCCCAAATTTGTCGTTGGTAATCTGGAGACGCTACCTCTCCAAGTCCAAATGCAAGAGAAAACCTGTGTCCTGGCTCAAAGGCACAGAGAACAGGTTTCCTTTACTCAACATACTTGTTCTGTTCAGGCCCTGGAGGAATTGGAGAAGGGAATCGGCTTTAATCTACAGATTCAAATGTCAATCTCATCACACACCTTCACAGACACACAGAATGATGTTTAACTCAACATGGGGACACCCCATGCACCGGGCAGGCTGACACATAAAACTGCCCATCACAGCACTTAACGCCACAGCCGTCCTGCCGCTCAGAGAGCTGTGTGGTCATGGGGCAGAGTGTGCAGAGAGGAGGCGGCTGGGTCCCGGGCGACTTCCTAAACACCTGTCACATCTGAACGGCAGCCCCTAGACATCCTATTACAGGAGATGGTAAACCTCCTACGGATCCGGTCACCATGTTCCAGCTGCTCTTCCTCCACAATCCTAACTGCCTGTGCTTCTGACCAACGGGTCATGGATCCAAGGTTCCAAACGCCACCCCCCACCCCCCTCGGGTTTGATGAACTTGCTAGAGCTACTGACAGAGCTCAGGAAAATAGCTCACACACTAGATTAGGTGTTCATTGTTAGAGCAGAGAACTCGGAACTAGTCAGACAGAAGAGATGCACAGGGCCAGGTGGGGGCACCGGGCCAGGTGGGGGCACCGGGCACGGCGCTCCCACGCCCTCTCCAGTGGGGAAGCTGCCCACGTCCCATCAGGATCCCCGTCCAACAAAGGCGAGCCCTTCCCCTGCCCCTTGAGGCACATGGGCCCAAAAGATCACGCACAGTTCCTCGAGAGGACGTTCTAATCACTCGTCCTGGCATCAGCAGTAGGAATAGGGGTGCGGGCTGGCAGCCCTGGGCCACGACGCGAGTGGGCTGTGGGGACAGCAGCAAGCAATTTCATGCCCCACAGCTCGCTCGCTCTCTCTCTCTCTCTCTCTCTCCTATGGCGAAGTGGCGTCTTCTTCCTACAGGAAGACTTCCCCCGGCTGTAATTTTTTATTTTTTTATTTTTTATTTTATTATTTTTTTTTAATGTTTATTTATTTTTGAGACAGAGAGAGACAGAGCATGAACGGGGGAGGGGCAGAGAGAGAGGGAGACACAGAATCCGAAGCAGGCTCTGACCCATCCGCCCAGAGCCCGACGCGGGGCTCGAACTCACGGACCGCGAGATCGTGACCTGGCTGAAGTCGGACGCCCAACCGACTGCGCCACCCAGGCGCCCCTGTAATTTTTTATTTGAGGCAGATTCTGCAAAAGTTGCCTCTGACAATGCTTGCCGGCCCTTCAGCTGCCTTTGTGGACAGATGGGGCCTGGAGTTTCATTCAATTGCTCCACCATCTATTTTTTTGTATGTGTTTGTTTGCCACAAAAGCCCTTACTGTTTCCTTACTGTTTATAAATAAAGAAAATAAGGAAAATGAAACCACTTATTTTCACTTTTTTTTTTTTAAGTTTAAGCATGTGTGGATCTAGGAAGATCCACAAGTTTTTGGCAGAAAAGATAGATAATAAATTCATAAAATGGAAAAGATAGTTACATGTACAAATAAATTCTTTTAAATAAAAAAAAGGGGGACAAATATCTCCTTTCAAAGGTATTCACTCCCGGGTTGGTCCAATCGACCAGCTGGGTAATAGAGGGAAAGCGTATCTAATGCCGGAGATTACACCATGAACACCAAATGCAAAGCAGGTGAGTCTTTGAGTCGAGATTTCCCTGTGAGTGTTTGTTAGTACTTGTCTCTAGATCACCTGCCTCAAACACACCCAGGACACTAACAAGAAACACAGGTTCCTGAATCAACATAGTGAGAATTTCTTTTGAGGATCCTGAATTTCCACTTATCAAAGCATCTGGTGATGGCTTCCAACTGCTCTTAGCTTTCTCCAACGTGCTGAGCAGGCCCGGGGACAGAGGAGCCTGGGGACTCACTGAGATTTGGAAGCTTATGTCTGTATCATGTTGTTATCCTGCAGTCCCTGATGGGAATCCTGGGAGTGTGATTTCGGTTTCCAAGAAACCCCATTGCAGCAACCTGGGTAGCCCCAAGGTGAAGAACCGGTGCTGATGCTGAGTCTTTTGATCTCCCCCTGTCTTTTCACGGGTTTGGGGCCCTCGACCAGGGGGCTACCTGGACAGTCCTATCACATTGCCTGTTAGGGACAGAGTCCTAGCAAGACAGAGAAGCTCTCCTGAGACACAATCTCACAGGGAATAACGGGACATCGGGTTTGCTCCCCCAGTGAAATCCCACTCTGCTGAAAATGTGAAAGTTGAATGGACATGGTGCCCCTTATGTCCAGGGGTTTTCACGTGGAGCTGGGAGGCCACTCAGGAGGCAGGTCTTATGCCTGTCCTCACCAGGTGGAACCAGGAACTTTGAATGAGGCCAACCCGCAAATATCTCCAGGACTGTGGATGAACACGCCTTTGAGTTCCTACAGTAACTGACTTTGGCTCGGCGAGAGCTTTAGCAACCAGTTACGTTCAAGCAGGATTGGATTTTTGCCGCCAATACCAATCAAAATTCTTTGTAAACAATGTATTCGTGCGTTCCCTTTTATCTTTAAAAGTCCCTGACTTGTCCCTTGTGAGACACTATGGGGGTTGCCACCCAAGTCTGTATCCCCTGCATTGTAATTCTTTGATCCTAGATTAATGCTTTTGCTTAATTATTGCCTCCTGGCAATTTTAGGTCATGAGAGCCATTTGCTGTTGTTGATTCAAGACAGAGCTTTCCCCAGAATTAAAAGAGAAGAGAGGTTAATGATGTGTTATCTTTGCCCTCTCCCTCCAGCTTCCTGGCCTTGGTTGCATGTTACAAATAACCACAGTGGGTTTAACACCCAAACACCCAACATCCACACGGATAAGGAAACAGTTTCTATCTCCTGCATCTCCACCAAGGTCACACAGAGCACTTCACTTGTGACATTTCTGGGCCCCACAGGTGGGCAGTTTTCCGAGACCAACAAGCAAGCCTCCGACACCAGCTGGGTGTCCAAGAATTCAGCTCAATTCTGCCACCATCTACCGGAGACAGCAGCAGGTTCCAGGGTGAGGGCCCAGCCCCAAAGGCCACCCTACACACACATACACACTTCGAATGCCTGTTATCACCCGGGCTTCAGAGCAATGGGCGACAGACCAGAGGTTCCAAGAACCCCTCCTTGAGTTTGATTAATTTGCTAGAGCAGCTCACAGAACTTAGGGAAACACTTACATTTATCACTCTATTAAAGAGCTGGGATGCGTCGCCCTCCTGGTATGGGTGTATGCGCCAGCCTGGAAGCTCTCCAAATGCTCCACCTTTAGGATTTTATGGAGGCTTCCTCACGTGAGCAAAATGGATCATTAACTCCATTTCTAGCTCCGCCCGATGGGGAGAAGGGAGCTGGGGGTGGGGCTGAAGGAAGGTGGTGGCTTGCTCTTTCTGGAGACCAGCCCCATCCAGGAGCCGACCCAGAGTCACCTATTAGCGCCTATTAGTGATAATGCTCTTATCACTCACCAGGATATTACAGGGACTTTAGGAGCCCTGTGTCAGGAACCTGGGGCAGGTTCCATATCCATATCCATATATATACATATATATATATATATGTGTGTGTGTGTGTGTGTGTGTGTGTGTGTGTATAGTCTATATACATACACATATTTTTCAAGTTTATTAATTTACTTGAAAGATCATGCTCACACAAGTGGGGAAGGGGCAGAGAGAGAGAGAGAGAGAGAGAGAGGGAGAGAGAATCCCAAACAGGCTCTAGGCTCATTGCACAGGCCAATGCGGGGCCCAAACCCACAACCGTGGGATCATGACCTGAGCTGAAATCAAGAATCAGCCACTTAACCACTGAGCCATCTCTACATATTTTTCTATTATCTCATGCCACATTTCAAATCCGACCCAGCAAATGAATATCCCCAGGAGTGAACCAGTCATTATGGTAGTTAAAACTTACCAGGTGATTCTGATGTGTCAATTCAGAACCATTCCATTTTCACTCTTCAACCTGCATTTGGAACGCCTGGGATTGTTACTGAGAAGCCCCAGATCCTGGTTCAGTAGGGCTAGCTTGTGCCTGAGAGTTTGTATTTCCTACAAGTTACAGGTCCTTGGACTAGACTGTGCATTCCCTTTTGTCTTTAAAAGTCCCCGACTTCTCCCTTGTGAGACACTATGGGGTTCACACCAAGGTCCTCATTACTCAGGTGAAATTGGATGAAGAAAAAGAAACTGACCTGAGGTGTAAGGAAAAATGACAAAAGTTGTAATACACGTTCCGTTTCAGACAATTTTATTCATATTGAAAGAAAGTAGTCAAACATAACATTGCAACCATTTTTAATAACAAAATGTGCAAGGTTAAAAGAACATTCCCATTTCCCCGAGGCAACGAGAATTTCCACTGAAATTCCTTCAAAGTCAAAATCTCGACAACCAGGAGAGGGCGCTCTTCCGGACGGTTCAGGCCTTCTCCACCATCACAGAGAGGCCTTTTCCCCAGTTACCCAAATACTAGTCATTTATCCACCCACACAGATGAATTAATAGCTTTCTACTCATGTTAGGGTACAACATAGCTTCCCCTTGTTGACTCAGTTTCTTAAATAACATCTGATTTACAAAGGACTACCCATGACAATTTCATACGCTCCATCCCCACCATGACTTAAGTGTACAAAATGTAAAGGTGATGTCTGTCCGGTGACCCACGGTGTCACCTGGAGCCCCAGCAGGTGCACGGGCACCACCGGCAGAAATGCCGACTCACGGGACACAGCTGTTCCTGCCTCTTTTCCCACCTTTCAGCCACTTCCAGGGTGGGACATTGGCCACACTCAGTCATTCTCAGCAGGGGAGGAGACCAGGAGGTCCTCTCAGTGGAACACCGGGATCCTGTCTCTCCAAGGCCTCTGAGATGGGAGGGCTCTGACCAGCGGGTGGAGATTCTCCGGAGGGAGACAGAACAGTGGAAAACCTGGAGCTCTGCCACGCCCTGTCCCATCTCATGTCCCATCCTCGCCCCTGCTGGCCTGGAACATGCCTGGGTGGTCGGGGTTAGGGGACAGCACAGGTCTGAACAGGGCTCAGACCAGGTGAGTCAGGTGGAGCCCGGCGTTCAAGACTGGGCATTAGGACTGGTATCTTCCCGGTCACTTGAGGCATCTGCTTGGATACTGGGGGGAAGCTGAGACCCGGACAACCCCCAGACCAGGTCACTGGACCCGCCTGGGAGGGGGTTAGAAGAAGTTGCATTTCGCTTTCTTTGGAGGGTTCTGGGAAGGCTGCGTGGGGACCTGGGGAGACCTCTTCCCCTGTGCCTGGATGCTGACTTTGGAGCTCTGGCCATGTGTTCCCGTGGCAGGCTGTGGGCGGGGCTTTGAGTCCACAGGAGGATGCTTGGCTTGTGCCAAGGTGACGCACAGGACCCGGGGCCAGTGTCTTCCTGGCCGACGGGGGAACATCACGGGAGGAAACCTGAGGCCAGCCGGCTGTGGACTTGGAAATGAGAGCCTGGTCCCGGCAGGAGCTCTTTTGATCTGCGCAGGGCAAGTCCGCCCCGCATCTTCGGGCTGGTTCACAAGCACGCACTTCAGGGGCTTTATAGAGGGGCCGAGTAGGGCAGGACGACCGCATGTCAGCTGTCCTAGCAGGTGGCTGACCCGTGGGGACAGGGCCCAGGACAGATGGCTTCGTATTGGTTTGGACGGGCAACGGCCTGGTGGGGCGCTGTGGGAGAAGGAACCTCATATTAGACACCTCAGGAGTCAGGACAAGTTGGGATTCTCTCTACGTCAGGGAGAAAAAAAGGAGCAACCCAATCTAAACACACAACGCATGCAACGCTAAGTGTCACCGAGAACGACGTGCTCGTAGTCACTGCACATTTGCAGAGACCTGCTCCTCAGAGGTGATGGAGGGAACCAATTACAAGGCCCATCTGGTTTTTGCTGCTTATCAGATATGACAATTGAAACTTCCCTTGTCTTTGTTGTTAAGATCCAGGGAACACACAATGTGCAGAGTATAAATGGCAACCATCCTCTGCAAGGGTAATTTGGGTATTTACAAACGTTTAAAAGAAGCCTCATCTTGGGCGCCTGGGTGGCTCAGTCCGTCAAGCGGCCAACTTCAGCTCAGGTCACGGTCTCCCGGTTCGTGGGTTCAAGCCCCGCCTTCGGCTCTGCACTTGTGGTGCAGAACCTGCTTGGGATTCTCTGTCTCTCGCTCTCTCTCTCTTTGCCCCTTCCCCACTCATGTTTGCTTTCTCTCTCTTTGTCTCAAAATAAATAAATAAGGAAATAAATAAATAACTTTTTTAAAAGTCTGAATTATGAAAAAGATAAAAATAAATAAAAGAGGCCTCGTCTTGACATAGGATCACAGAAGGCATCCGACAGAACCCCTCACCTGTGCACAGAAATGCCCCACCAGCGTTTGCTGGCTGACTTGCACAAAATCGGGAAAAAATACATTTTGAAAATAAAGAAGCTGGGATTTGAAAACTCTTAGGACGCCTGTGCGGCTCCTACAGCCCAGCCCGGAAGTGAACATGGCCCCGCACCCCCCCAGCAAGTCACTGATGGAGACAGAGCTCAGAAGCAGGAGCGAGCAAGACTCACCCGCAGGTGGGCGCCCGAGTCCGCGGGTTCCCTGCAGGCGCTCTGCGGCTTCCGCTGGGGTCTCCCGGGTAATTGCGGGGGCAGGTCTTTCTCTTTCCGCCCTTCTTGCCTGCGGAACAAGCCACGGGAACTGTCGGATGCCCCCGACCCCGGTCGCCACCACTGACCGGGAACCAAGAAGACCCCGGAGCCCAGTCGTCGGCCTGGTTTAGGGGCGACGGAGGCCCCGAAGCCCCTGTGGACTTTGCCAAGGCGGCTCCTTCCGGGACCTCAGCGCAGCCCCCGCTTCCAGGAAGCGTCCCCTTCCCCGCCGTGGCTTCGGCATGAAATACTCTCACTTAGACCCCATGCGCCTCTGCCGCGTGCAACACCCCAAGATCGATATTCCCGGCCCGACTCCTTGGAAATCCCGAGGACTCGAGGGAGCTCTGAGGTCAACCCCGGGCACCGCTTGCCTACTTCTCTCCTGGTCGGTGCCTGACACGGCTGCACGGGGACAGCAGGGGGAGGGCTCCCCGTCCTCGGGGCTCCGTTGCCCCAATCATTCTGACCGCGCGAGTCCTCACCTCTGTCCTGGTTCCTTCCCGCTGTCAGTCGTGTGGAAGGACCCTGGGGTATGGCAGTCCTGAGGCCTCCTGGGTTCCAGGTTTTCATTCTCACTGGAGCCCAAGGGCTGGGGGGCAAGGGCCCCACCCCAGCACTTCATGGGGCACCTTCTGCTGCTGGCCAGGTGCCCAAAGGCTCCACAGTTCTTGCACTTCACCTGTGGATGGAGGGAGAGGGTCCTCCGTGAGCCCGCGGAAATCAGGGCAGAAATGAAAGGTTAACGGGACAGGTATTTGGAGTTGAGTGGGGGGAAGGACATAGACCCAGGGCCCCTGGCCAGGAAATCCGAGAGGCTGTGGTCCCGCCCAGGGCCCATTTCACAGAAAGTGACCTGAGAGGAAGGAATTGCGTGGCTAAAGGTGATGACTATGAACTGGATTTGAGTGTGGCACAGCCACCAAGCTGAACGTGACGCTAAATAGGGAGTCAGTTCGCTCCTCAGAGGATCCGAATGGGCCCCTCTGCCAGCTGAGGCCCTCCCAAACCCGGCCAGCCTTGGATAAGCAAGAATCCCGGAGGACAGAGACACACCGGTTTCTGTTGAAACCCACTCTTTGGGGTCCATGCCGCTCCTCTGGTTCTTGACACGTCCACGCCTCCGCTTACCCTGGTATTCTCCTCTTCTGGTGGGGGATTCCTCTGCCCCACCGGTCCCTTCTGGAGCTGCTTCACGTTCTGAGTCATGGGGAGTCTTATGGGCCGCTGGTGTATGTAATGACGTGCCATCTGCCTCATGTCCTTGGGCCCCTGGTCATTCTTCCTCGGGGCCTGATTGTTGGATTTCCTATTCACAAGCAAAGGAAAAAAAAAAAAAAGATGTAGACACGGAGACAGAAGTCCCTCATGGCCTTTTACCTCCCTGCATGGAATGGGTGGGGGACTCGCTGATCACTGAGTGACCCCCCGGTGATGGGGTCTTCTCATGAACTGAGGTCCCATTGTGTGCCACTTTGCGACATGTTTTCCATCATTACGTACTCCCAGAGTAGGACACTGCCTGAGAAAAGGCCACTTGGAATAAACATGGTGAAATGAGATTGGCAGCCACGAATGTCTGCACAGGTCCTCCCCGAAAACCTCAGTGTCGCTCAGGCCTGTGTGCTGGGTTTTTGTCCAACTGCTTCCTCCAAGCTTAAAGCATTCACCTGTATTTATCAAAACCAATAAGCAGGCCAACACTATTGAGTTTTCCCCCCTACACATTTCCAGAAAACTCACAATTTTCATAGAACAACATCTTCCTGAGAAAACCTGCCATTTCCTCTGACAAAGGTTTGCAGAGATTTGATGTGACACTGATGAACACCTGTGAAATGTCGTACGTGACCCCCGTAACCACATGCCAGTTCTCAACAGAGGCATGCACAAGGTCACACGGGGACACGCAACCTGTGGACGCCTGTGCCAGCTCACATCCACCTGCAAGCTCACAGAGAAAAGCCTGTGCGACGGTGAGGGCCACGCAAGTCAGAAGCCCCTTCCTCACCCCCCCCTCCCTTGGTCTGAGCAGAAGCCTACAGCCCACACCTGCGCCCGGAGGGGCTTTTCCCCCAGGCTCTACCCACGTCACTCCCGCCATTTGTCCCACCTCTCCTCTTGGTCTTTGCGTCTTTGTGAAGCCGTGAGCCGGTCCACCGAAGGCTGACATTTCTTACTGGAGACACAGCGCGCACCTGGATCCTCTCCCGGCATCAGTGGGAACCGTAGCAGAACCTCCACGGCGGCATCAACGACCCATTTCTCTGTCATCGAGTCAATCTGACAGAGAGTAAAGAGGACCAAGATGCAATCGGTTCTGCACGGAGGAGGAAGCCTTGAGATATGAGAAGATAATAAACCGGCTCCCAGTTCTGTGAGTTCTTCAACTCAGTGTTAATCAGAGAGTAAAGGCTCCTTCCTCTGGTTCAACAGTGAGTTTGCCCACGACGTCCACGCGGGGGAGCCCGTGCTCAGGGAATGCTGGCGGTCCCAGGCGGGAACCGAGATTCCTCTACCCTGCCCTCTGATCACTGCGCTTCCCTGTAATTGGCCAGCTGGCAAATATCCACATCGCTAATCACGGGCTTTCACCCCGGTCACGGTCACGGGAGGGGAAGCTGCCTCAGCGCTAGACTGGGAGGCCACCTCCTTCCTCCACACGTCACCTGCCCAACCTCTCCCACACTTACATCTCTCTGCGGAATTCCAAGCTGCTTTAAGAACTCTTTCCCCTGTTCCATGGAAAGCCTGTTGGGGTCCATCGGGGTTGGTCAGGCCCAGGGACTCTGTTGCCCTGTGCGGGATAGAAAATGAAACCGCAGGGGCGCCTGGATGGCGCAGTCGGTTGAGCGTCCGACTTCAGCCACGTCGCGATCTCCCGGTCCGAGAGTTCGAGCCCCGCGTCGGGCTCTGGGCTGGTGGCTCGGAGCCTGGAGCCTGTTTCCGATTCTGCGTCTCCCTCTCTCTCTGCCCCTCCCCCGTTCATGCTCTGTCGCTCTCTGTCCCAAAAATAATAAATAAACGTTAAAAAAAAAAATGAAACCGCTGAACGCTGCACACCCCTGGACCCCCCCATGCGCAACGCAGCCAGCTCCTACCTCTCTGCCCACCATCTCCCCTTTCACCTTTTGTTCCAACTACACGTGCATATCCTTCTACTAGTAACATAGTACCAATGAATGAGAAATAAGATGATAAATTTTTTCTAAACTTCTCCACTAGACTTAACATGTTTTATATATACATGAAATGCAGATTCCATATTTAGAGACCTTATATAATACACCATAAAACGCTTGGGAAAAAGTGATCACATAATTGGTTTCAAAGAGAAAATTCAAAATGTAAGAAAACCAGATATTTTACATTCTCTAGTTCCCCTCTGGCATAACTGAACAAAATTAAATATAACTACATTATTTAACTTCTTTATCAGATGAACTATTTTCAAACTATGCAATATATTTCCAGCAATTTCTGAAATCAGATTCCTTAAAATCAAAAATGAAATTCAAATGGAAATTATAAAAAAGAGAAAAAAGAGAAAACAGTTTATGCCAAAACTTAGGAGCAGGGCAAAACGTGGTTTAGGGGTAAATTCCTTAGTCTAAACACGCATATTATATACAAACATAAAATTTATAGGAAGTTTTCATCTTAAGAAGTTGGAGCGGGAAAAAAAAAGAAATTGGAGCAAGGAAAACAAAAGATTACAAAAGGAAGAAAGAAATGAAATTGATGAATCAAAACCTAAATGGGATTAGGAGTGCTTGGCTGGCTCAGATGGTTGAGCTTGCAATTCTTGAAATTGAGGTGGTGAATTTAAGCCCCACGTTGGGTACAGAGTTTCCCATAAATAAATAAGCAAGTAAATAAAATCAAATGGGAAAATGGAGCGTATTCGGAAAATATATCTTCAAAAACAGCAATAGAATACATTATCACTGACTGTCATAATAAAAAGACAATAAAATTTATAATAGATTATATCAGGGGGAAAAAAAAGACCAGGGGCATGTGGGTGGCTCAGTCGATTAAACTTCCGACTCTTGACTTTGACTAAGGTCATGACCTCACAGTTGATGAGTTTGAGCCCCGAAATGGGCTCTGCACTGAGACTGTGGAGCCTGTTGAGATTCTCTTTCTCTCTCTCTCAAAATAAATACATAAACTTAAAAAAAAAAAAAAGACCATTTTCCCATAGAAACAGGAAGGAAAGGGGTCAGGGAATCTGTATCTAATCTCAGGGAAACGTATTTGAAAACCTAGAATAAAGTATCTGTTCCTTTTCAATTTTTATTTTATTTAAGTAAACTCTGTGTCCAACATGGGGCTGGAACACCTGACCCCCTTTTCACATTTTAAAAAAACGTTTATTTATTTTTGAGAGAAAGAGTACCAGCGCGGGAGGGGCAGAGAGAGGGGGACAGAGGATCTGAAGCAGACTCTGTGTTGACAGCAGCAAGCCCGATGCGGGGCACAAACTCATGAACTCTGAGATCCCTGAGATCGTGACCTCAGCCGAAGTCAGATGCTCAGCCGACTGAGCCACCCAGCCACCCCTATCCTTTTCACATTTCAAATGGCCAAATCTCAGTAAGGAGGAAGCCTTTCCCAAGTACAAATGAAGGTAGACTAATTCTTGCCTCTCCATTCGACTGGGAGCTTCATAGCTCAGGTACTGCTGTTTTATTTACAGGTTCAGGATCAGGGTTGCGAATTTCAAGCAGCTTTCAAACAAGTTCTCATGAATACACTGGCATAAAAGATAAATTACGAAATCACTCACAGTTTTAAAAACCCTGGGTCTGGGTGATCATTCTCTGCAATGATCTAAAAGTTAACATTTCCTTGGGGCTCCTGGTTAAGGGTCTGACTCTAGATTTCTGCTCAAGTCATGATCTCACGATTCTTCAGATTAAGCCCCAAGTCAGGCTCCTCACTGGCAGCACGAATCCTGCTTGGGATTATCTTTCTCCTTCTCTCTCTGACCCTCCCCTGCTCATGCTCTCTCTCCCTCTTGCTCCCTCCCTCTCTCTCTCTCTCTCAAAACTTTAAATAAACTTTAAAAATAAAAAAGGGCCATCTGGGAGGCTCAGTTAGTTCAACAACCGACTATGTTTGCGCTCAGGTCATGATCTCAGGGTTCTGGGATAAAGCCATGTCTGGCTCCTTGCTGAACATGAAACCTGCTTAAGATTCTCTCTCTCTCTCTCTCTCTCTGCCCCTCCCCCCAATCACTCTCTCTCTTTCTCTCTCTTAAATAAAATAAAATACAATAATAAAAGTTAACATTTGTCTAAAAATTAACATTTTTGAAATAGTTTTTTAATCAGGCTCTGTGCTAAAAATTCCATTAGTTAAGGGGCTCCTGGGTGGCTCGGTCGGTTGAGCGTCCGACTTCGGTTCAGGTCATGATCTCACAGCTCATGAGTTCCAGCCCTCTGTCTGGCTCTGTGCTGACAGCTCAGAGCTGGAGCCTGCTTCAGATTGTGTGTCTCCCTCTCTCTCTGCCCCTCCCCCACTCATGCTCTGTCTCTCTCTGTCTCAAAAATAAATAAACATTACAAAAAGTTTTTAAAAAATAAAAAAATTCAATTAGTTAAGGAATCCTTACTTCAACACCTAAAATGGCCCTCTCCCCTTATTTCCTCCTATTTCTGTGAGGGGTAAAGGGAGGCCCCAAACAGTCATGGAAACGAACCTGTGATTTTGTGTCTGTCAGTGGCCACTCAGATAACGTAGACGCTGGTCCAATACTACTGGACCCAGAAGGGTTTCCGGGATGACTGAGAAGGTCAGGTCTTCTGCTGGGCTTTTATACAGCTCAGGAATCCCAGGAAATCCCCTTCCACCAATAATCAGCTTAACCTAATTGAGTGTGAGCTCATCTTTGTGTGTGAGCTGGTTTTAGCCGGCTCACCCAGGATGGCAAAGGACGTTTTACTGGGAGAAATGTTTATTGAGTTATTGAGTGTTTACACCCTCAGCACTTTCATTGTATCTCATATGTCTGTGTCTGATACAATACACTATAATTTGGTCTTTGCCATTCCCAGGGATTTTTAAAAGATAAACCTATAACTAGGCAATTTTACCACTATACACAATGCTGAAAATGTTTACACACATGTTGCCAATGGGAGGGGTTGTGCCTGCATGGGGGCGGGGCTCTATCGGAGATCTCTGAACCTCTGCTCAGTATCGTCTGAGCCACAAATTGCCCCAAAGAAGAAAATCTCATTTTTAAAAAATAGTTACGCATATGCCAATGCACTGGCTGATCCCTTCTGCATCTTGCTGCAGATGGGATAAGGTTGGTCTCCCCAAGGCAAGGAGCTCATTGGCAGCCAGGGCTTCAAAAACCAAGGGGGAAGAATGGCTTTCTTTATGCCCGGAATCAGAGCCCCGCTCAGATGCAGAGAATGCCAGCATTCTCGGACTCCACGGCCAGGGCCAGGTTCCAGGATAGCGCAGGCGGGATGCTGCTCTCCGGTCCCCAGGGGACCTGCAAACCAGCAGGCCTGGCTGGGCTGGGAGGGAGAGGCTCTGCCACGGAAAGGGATCTCGGGAGGATTTGTTTATGAGGACGGAGGGGTGCAGAAGGAGATGGGCGGAGCTCAGCAGAATCCACAGGGAGGCATTTCGCTGGGTGGGGTCGGCATTCAGGTGGGTTTCTCCACCCACATGCTTCCTGACTCTCTCCTAGGACCGGGGAAAGGGAAGGCTCTTCTGCATTGCAGAGTCCTTCTGCCAGGGGATGCGGGGGCGACGTGGGGGTGGCTATACTGATGACCCATTTCTCAAAACGCAGGGGTGATGTCCAAGATAATCCCATCTGAAGGCGAAGCTCAGAGAATTAGGAGGAGAAAGAGAAGGGGGAGGAGGAGGGAGTGACTGGTTTCAGGTAAATGTCCCATCCTAGATGGATTAATGTGTTCTCCCTGCCTCTACAAACACCATATTCTTAGACCTTGAAAACATTGATTTCTCTACCTCTGCTGTTCCAGCCTAGTGAGTTTTTAAAACCACTTTGTTCCCTCGATTCTCATTCAAGTCAAGGTTGGCTCACTCGAAAAATAAAAACAGATTTTTTTGTGGTTTTATGTATTCTAATGTGAAAAGTATTTAGAATGGTTTCCAGTAAACGGAAAATGGTAAAATTCTTTGTTTTTGCTCTTCTCAAAACTACTTTACACCCTGTTATTTCTCTAAAATTTCTTGATTACAAAGTGCTTCATTAAACCTTTCCTCAGTATCTTCATTCCCTGTCGCTCAGAGTGTGAACCACAGATTGGCAGTATTCGCATCAGAGATCTTCCACAAATGGAGAAGCTTTGGTCCCACCCAGCATTTTTCTATAAAGTTCTGCTATTTAACATGGTCTCCAGGTAATCATTGAGTACATGAAAATTTGAAAAGTGCATTACTTTTTTTTGTAAGAAATATACCAGTAAGTTTATTTCAAATTAAAAAAAATTTTTTTAACGTTTATTTATTTTTGAGACACAGAGAGACAGAGCATGAAGGGGGGGAGGGTCAGAGAGAGAGGGAGACACAGAATCTGAAACAGACTCCAGGCTCTGAGCTGTCAGCACAGAGCCTGACATGGGGCTTGAACTCACGGACTGTGAGATCATGACCTGAGCTCAAGTCGGACGCCCAACCGACGGAGCCACCCAGGTGCCCCAGTAAGTTTATCTCAAAATCTATCTGCATACAAAAGTGTTTATGTTTATAAGGAGTAAAGTGCATTTCTAAG